CACGCTTTTCCGGTATTCCAGAGGTCCGTGGTTCGATTCCCGTCGAAGGCGATTGCTCATTTTTCATCTCGCCTGCTTCCAAAAAATTCCTAATGTCTCTACAATTTCAGATATAAGGTACCACAAAAAGACTAAGTTAATTCCTCAGAATTATGAATACGTTAAAGAGGTTTTTACACAATACTGCAAGATAAAAATACAAATGTATAACAGAAGATATATTTTATTAATAAAAAAAAGTCCTGTAGTAATAGGAATTTGTATCGTAGAAAATGTTTCAACTTTGTTTAATATTTTTACTGTTCTGAAACATGTTTAACAATTAGAAGTATGAGAAGTCTGCTATGAGGTCAAAGCTGATCACGACATGAAAGCACATGTACTTAAAATATTTTCCTTATTCAGTTTTCAGTAACTATTTCAGTATTACTTTCTATTACATCTATTTCAGACTAATTTCATGTAACTTATTAATATCACAAATAGTTTAATACATGGTTTCAGATATTAACAAACTATGAGACTAAGAAATAGTGGCATGCCAAATAAAATTGAATGAAATAAAAACAACGGTAACTGACGTAGGCTTTATTTTAGTTTAATTATTTAGTAGGCACGTTCAACAAATGAGCAACTTTCTTCAGCCGCAGTTAATTAACAGACAAAGGCCCCAAATACAGATATCAACTCACTAGTAGTTAAAAATAACTCCCTTTATAATGAATAGAAAAAAGCATCGAAAAGCAAGTGAAAGTTTTAAAAAAAATCAAGCAAGCGGTGCATGAAGAAATAGAAAATGGAATCAAATCAATGATCATTCATGGATAAATGAACTAGTATAAAGATTGCTTGTTGTAGAGATGTTTTTGTGGATACGCAAGAATCAATAAAATCTAATTAACCTTTTCTTACAGAGGGGACATTTAATCTGACAAAATCGGCCAAAGAGTTATTCTTTGGTAGATTACATTCCTTCAAAGTTTTCATATCAGTTAAAATCCAGACTAGTCAATGACATGATTCTAACCTGTTCTCGCATCCATTTACTAGCAGATCAATATTTTTTTTAATCTAATTCCATTTTTCATCCCTAGATGGCATCGCTTGATTAGCCTCTCTTCGTTAGTTTTCTTTTCTTTTCACCTTCTCCATCATTGTTAGTTAGTAAGCTCTCCTGTTCTCTTTCGTTGGAAGACTTATAATGTATTTCTCCCGCCTTCTTAGCGTGCCTTCGTAGTGTAGTGGTTCTTCACGCTAGGCTGGTATTCCAGAGGTCCATGGTTCGATTCCCGGCGAAAGCGTTGCATATTTTTCATCTCTCCTGCTTCCGAAATAAACTTAATGACTACAGACTTAGGTGCAATACGTCACTTGATTCAGACTCCTGGGTGAAATCCGCATCCTGTATAGAACATCGTAGCGCTCGCATAACTTTTGGTAACATAACATACATAAAGTGTTCATGACTGAGAATAAATTTCTCAGGACACGCGTGAATAAGTCTTCGTATCCAAAAGTCACTCCGGTAACAAACTCTTTCGTTGAACTGACTCCCTATTCAGGGTACTTGTCTTTAGTTTCAGATGAAGATGGCGATAGTGTTGAAGAGCAGAAAACGCTTTTGCTGAAATAAAATCTACGACAATTAATACTGTTTTTAGGTTAAAATTCAACGCCGAAAATATATTAATTTAGAAGTTAAAGAACAATAGCCTTAAAATTTCACGTTAAAGAACATGAGCCATATGTTAGGGAAAAAGAAACACAGAAGTCCTCTGTTGCCCAGCATTGTTGATCGGCAAATCACACTTTCCATTTTTCTGCAGCCAAAATTATTCAAAAAGCATCTTCCATTGGTGAATTATATTTTCTAGAGGCGTTTCACATTCAAAAAAATTTTTCTGTTGTAGTTAACGATCCCAATTCCAATCCACCTTTACCTTCAGCCTTTAAGGAAATTATGTTTTACTTTTCTTGTTCTATCAATAGATGGCACCAGTAGCTTAACTCTTGTCCTGTCATTCTTATCTTATCTTGTCCTATCTTTTTATTCTGTCTTATCATTTGCACTTTGGCAGCTGAGTTCGGTAAAACCATCGAAACTAGTCCTGTGAAACTTTGCAAATATAACGCTGATTTTTGTTTGACTTCTGAATTAACACCGTTTTTCTTGCACTCAGCTTATTAGATTGTTGATTAAATAACTATGCATTTCAGAGTATAAAATTAAGGAAGAAAGAGTTAAGAATACCTTTCTTAATGCACTTAAAAACGCTACAGTTTTAGTCTGGAAAATAGACGAAACGAAAATATGACTTTGCTTTTACTCTCAGTTTTAAAGTTACGAATTTCATTTTAGTTTGCAAAAGAAAGTATATTTTCTAGTGCTTCCTTTATCCTCTCAAGGATACATTCATTGCTTTGAATTGTAATTTATATAAAATGACTTCAAATATAAGATGCCATGAGTTTTTAAGGTGTTTTCGAGATTTCCATGTAATACAAGGTCGTATACAGACTCCGAAAACATTGCTTGTAAGCTTTATTTCATTAAATATTCATATTAGTTTTGTACTTCTGTTTGCAAAGTTCTCTAAACTTAGGTAAAAAGTATTTTGGGTCAGCACGAATGAGATAATTCTGTAAAATTAAATTTAACATTTTTCAATTAAAAAAAAAGTATTCGTTATGTTATGTTTTCATGTTAATTCGAAGCAAAAATACCGATATCATGGCGTTCAGAATTACCAAATATGTTGGAAAGTGAATCTATTGACCCAAATTATACTTCATTTTTTGTTATCAACTTGAACTGTATAATTTCAGAACGAATTATAGAAGTACATTCGATACAATAATTGATCATTTTGATAATTCAGCCTTGGATAAAATTCAACCTTGGATAATTCAGCCTTGGATAAAATTCAACCTTGGATAATTCAGCCTTGGATAAAATAACATTTGTTAATAAATTTCCACGTGGCTTCTTGAAAATATTTCAAGTATAACTCTGCCAATATCGCAAAATAAATATTTATATCTCAACATAAAAGGCAAACGATGAGAATAAAATATCTTAATATATTTTTAAGTGTCAGGATGTGCATACGAAACAATTATGTTCTCAAAACAACATTTAAAAGTTATAAAAATTGCATTACATTAAAATCTGTACTGCACTGATTAACTTCATAGAGTCATTTGGTCACGACAATGCAGGAAAGGTGAAAAATGTGCAACGCTCTCCCCGGGATTCGAACACCGGAACTCTCGATTACGGTACGGAGTTACAGCAGGGAAGCACGCGGAAAGGAGGGAGAAAATAAATTATATACTTCCACTTTTTAAAGGATGAATGGGGATGAAGGAACCCAGTTGCCAAATCTTGGTGGTGGAGAATTATCGTCCATCACCTTTTAGTTCGGGTGCTAATTATAGAGTCATTAGAATTTTTCGATTTCAGTTAACTGCAGAATTCCGCAGTGCCCTAGAGAGGATTCGAACTCCGGATCTCCCGATTAAGCTTCGGGTGTGCTTAAGAAAAAAAACATACTGCGCAGAAAAAAAAAAAAAAAAAAAATTTATATCTGCCGTTCTACTGGACCGAATGACGAAATTCAGCTTGTATTTATATATAGCATTTTTCTAATATAAAATATAAATTATTTATATATAGCATTTTATAATTATATATATATCATTATATAAAATATAAATTATTTATATATAGCATTTTTCTAATATAGGTATTTTGATACAAAATCCGCCTTTTTTCTGAAATAACATGCCAATTTTTTTTCCATATTTCGATTCTACGACTGAAATTATGACAAACTGCCAAGTTTTGCAAAAATCGCACAAGTAGTTTTTAAAAAAATTAGCTCTCAAAATTTTAGCTCCTCAATGTTAATTGAATTTGGGCTCTCTTTTTTATTAAACGTATTTGATTCTTCCTTTCACAATTTGAAATTTAGGTTCATTCCAAATAAAATTCGCCCATTTTTTAAGATTTATTTTTAAATAATTTTTACAAATTTTTCGAAAAAAATTTTGAATTATAATCTATAAAATGTTTACATCATCTTAAAGTAGATGTATTTCTAAGCATACCTGCAAAAGATAAAAGTCTTTTATTCAAAATGTCCGAAGATATACGTGAATTTATATATTGGCGCGTTTTGAAATTTGGCATATTTGTTGAAAACGATAATAACATCAAATATGGTTTAGGCACTTCGTTAAAATTATTTCAAAGTAGGAACGATGTGACTTTTTTTCCTCTCGTTTACAACGAAAAAAGGAAAGAAAAATATGTTGCCATATTTAAGAAGTTCGCCAAGTGAATTAATTATTCTTGGCGCAAACTTCAAAAAAATCCGCCAAGATAAATTTTTGAATTCCTCCGTAAATGTCGCACCACATTTTACAAAACTTAATATTTAGACATAATTCAAGTCTTAGAATCGAAATATGGAAAAAAAATGACATGGCATTTTAGGAAAAATCCAATTTTCTGTCAAAATACCTGTATTAGATCAATGGTATATATTACTCTAATACATATCCTAAGTCGGGTTTTCGAGACATGAAACACGCAAGTTGAATTTCGTCAATCGTCCCAGTAGAACGGGAGCGTAGTGTACCTTTATTTTTCCTGAAATTTAGCGCTAACGATTAGCATTAGGCTAGACAACACATAAAAAAATCGAAGCTATTTTTTTGCTACTTCAGTTTAGCATAATATAATTTTAAAAAATCACTTAAAACGTTTGGGAGCAAAATACGAACTACCATTTCAAGCATTCTAAATAAAAATTAACTTTAAGGGAATGAATATGCATCACTAAATTTGTTTCCGACTATCCATTTGCTGCTTTCCAGGTTAATTCATAAACAATTTTAAATTTCGCAATAAATTTTAAGATGATTTTAAGCTATTTCTTTAACAATTTAAATTTGATGCTATACAGTTCCTCATGTATACTTTTTTCATTTAACAGGTATGCCGCACCTATCGGAGGACTCATTCAGGAGCGCGCTCCAACACGATTTCGTCATTAGGTCCAAAACATGGTCTATTGACATTGATTCCCTGGATTATGCGAAACGATTGGACAAAGATGATCCTCTCAGAGATTTCCGGAAACGTTTTCATTATCCTAAAAAGAAAAATTTCTCGGAAGGTAAGTTGAAATTCATTAATCACTAAAAATATCCCGTTGTTGTCTTGTGTGTGTTTTTATTTTTTTATTTATTTAATATTTCAGTGAAATACAGACTTGTATACAGGAGTAATTTTTCTGGCCGGGAGAGGAAAAAAGAATAACATTTTATATTGAGTTTCTGCATTCCTAATTTATATTTATCGTTCTGTCTTTCAGTTCTAATTTATATTTACGTTTCAACATTCTAATAAGTTTGAAAATATTTATTACATATCACTTCCTCATAATAAATTGCATTAAAACTTTGAATAATGTATGATTAAAAATATTCCTGAAGAAAAATTATTAAAAAACTACTCAAATAATAAAAGTAGCGTCACTAAATCTATCTATAATTACCTATTCCTTAGAATCTCACTATTCAGTTGCGACATCGAATAGAAAGGAAAATTAATCAGATTTAATAAAAGTAATCTTTATTTAAAATAATCAGATTTAATAAAAGTAATCTTTATTTAAAATATGTGATTTAACTTTTTAGGACTTCAGCAATATTTATTTAAATTATTGAAACTAATACACTGATATTATGTAATTTGATTTCTTAATATACTTCTCTATGTTTGAAATAAAAATTTTCTTCGAAAGTACATTTCTCACTTGTTATAGTCTCTACAGTGAAATGTGTCATGGGCTTCTAAAGTTAAACTTCTAAGTTCTAAAATTTTGAATTTGACTGTTACTTTAAGTTGCATCGCCACAAGCGGTGACTGATCATGTGAGCACGAGAAGTGCGTTTATGTTCTAATATTTGTTAAATAAAAAGATTTAGTTAAAACCTTGTCAACTCTCTGTAGCTCATTTCAGACGCAGCGATAATTCGTTTAACGTCTATTAAGAGTTTGATACTAATTTATGCTTCCCAAAAAATTCAAACTCTATAGGCTTATTAAAAATAGTAAAATTCGTTTTTAGGTGGTCTGAATATTGTGTTCCAAAATATATTCGAAACAATAGGTGCGTGATATTAGAAACATTGTAACCCGAAAGGGACGTTAGCCCAAAAGGGCTATTAGTCTCAAAAAGGCATTCTGCGTCGAATCACTATAAAGGGTTGCATAATTTTTCAAATTGTTGCCAGCAAATACTATCCCTTGTATTGTATTTAAAGAAATTAAATAATGAACAATCTGTATAAGTGTATGTATGTTTCTAATATTGCTTTGGTATTAATAAGCCACAAGTTCCATTATTTTAACAATTTTATTTTTGCATGAAATTCTGGGTCTTAATCTACTTTTCAGCATTACTCCCATCTACATAACACATTTATCATACCGTACGACAGCTTTTGAATTCAGTTTTCATAGAAATCTCCCACCTGATTTGATAACTATTTTTGTGCACATCCTGAGGATAATTTTCGTTAATCTAAACGTTCCGGCACAATTTCGTGAAGAGGATTTCAACAAAATGGATGTAACAATTTCATAAACAGTACTTTGCGATGATAAAAAATAAAAATAAGTGCAAATTATGTACCGATAACGTAACGGAATACTCACTATAGTTAGAGCACTCGCTGAAGCGAACGATTGAGTGTATATTTATAATTTTATAGATTGAACATAAAGAAAAGAAATTTAAAGGCCTAGTAAAAGTCGTTAAAAACATTTGCAGTATCCTATCAAAATTCCTGAAACACTATGTAATAAGAGTGATAAAGCAAATTTTAAAATAATTAATAAAAACCTATCCAAACTACAGAAAAATTGAAAAACGTGCACAAAAAAATTTTATTGTTAATCTTCTCTGTTCAAAGCTTCAAACAGAACTTGTCAAGGGAAAAGTGCTTAAAAGATGCACTTATCGTATATTATTTAATCTTCATTTTGTTTTATATTTCAAACATTATTAAGTTATGATATACGCTGCTTAAAAATAACTTTAAAAATATAAATATGGTTTATTGAAACGAAATTCTTTTCGTTATGATTTTTATTTAAAAGCCATTCTCTATGGAATATTTGGATTCTAAATTAACACTATTGATATTATTATGCTGATAATTTTCATAAACTTAAATTTCTTTTACGAGAAATTTAGCTTATTAATTTTAATGAAAATTAAAAGTATTAGTAAAATTTCTTTAATTTTAATTGCATTTTCAGTTGATCAGAAAAATTTGGCTGATGACGAAGAAGAATGTATCTACTTCTGCGGCCATTCCTTAGGACTTCAGCTAAAATCCGTGGAAGATGCTCTTCACGAAGTTCTGAAAAATTGGGCAGAAAGGTATGTTTAGTCTGTTAATTATATACTCTAAGAGAAATAAATTCTTTAAAAAAAGTTAGGAATCAGTAGCGTTAGTCTTTAATCAATAATAATTTTAGGACTAAAAGAAAATTCACTCTACTAAGTTAAAATTTGGTAGTTTTCAGCTTTTAACTAAACGTTTTTTATCTTTCATTAGTCAGCAACTTATCGGCCAATGTGAATTGCCTTAATTGTTCCGCAAGTTATCGTCTCCACCAGAAAATACGATTTCTAAAAATTAATGAAAGTTTATTAATTCCCCATCTCGTGATATAAACACTAAGTAATATGCCAAACAAAACTGATCACGGATGTTAAAAACTGGCGTTCCATAGCAAAATGATTTGCAATTAAAGATCGGCTATATTTTAATTTCGCTTATGCGTATTTTATTATCAGGTAAAATGTGATAATATTATTATTTATTATCAGATTTTACAACAAATGATTTACCTTGGATCTGAAAAATAAATGAACCTCTTTAGAGAGTTCATTGGGTTTAAAGGACGTGGCCATTTGTCCTCCTCTATTATGAGTCGTTGCTTCTTTATTTAGAGTTTGATAAATTTTATCAGATATTATAAATTGATTTAATTATTCAAAATCCCTTATTTCTCTTAATTTTAAATGTTAGCTCCAACTATTGTTGTTAAAAGTGAAACAAACTGAATATGAGTTGCCTTTTACTTTCCTGAATTGCTCCAAACATGAAAACGGCGCTGGTTCAAATTCTCTCAATAATTTTTTTAATGATTTTTTTTAACTTCTGAGTAAGTAATTAATTTTCCCCCTATGTATAAGTGATAATATTAGAAGATTTGCAATCTCACAAATATCGCAAAACTCCCGCTTTATAATTTTCCAGCATTTCTTCACAAATCCTCTCTCCAATGAACTCGCTAATGAGAAAGGGAAAAATCTCAACCTTCTGGTTTAATAGGTATTTTAATTGTTCACGTACGAACGCTTTTTATAAAGCGTGTCTAATGTTGCGCTATTATTTTCGTTTTTAGAAACGTCGAATTTTATTTCCGCGAACATTGTAACATATTTATTGAATAAGTATCATATAACCCTCGTAACATAATACCAAGCAGATTCATCTCTGGATTATTCAGACTCTGTGAGATTTAAAATTTATAAAGAGCATTTCCGATTACTGCTAACCTTTAAAAGGAATAATGTACTGCAATGGATACCTTCACATTGGTTGATATATGCGGAAATGAGATGGCTGATCTTCTTGCAAAGAAAGGCACAGGTATTCTGCAATCCACACAAAAGGAGATCCCATACTGTTCCGTAAATAGAATAATCAAAAATACATTGAATAAGATCTACCAAATAAAATTTTCTGAACTTATTAGTTTTAAAACTTGGAAAGAGACTCTTGAAGAGATTCCTGATTTTCCAAGACGGCATGCTATTGCTGCTTTCAGACTAGAAACAGGTCATAACTGCCTAGCTGGTTACCTGCACAGATTCTGATTACTGTCCCCCTCAAACTGCATCTTATGTAGCAGTAACCATGTGATGGACGCTAAGCATCTCGGAGTATACCCAGCTGTCTCAGGAAATATTTACGATAGATACTGGAAAGCTGGAGAACAGTTGCAAGCCTTACACACTAGCTGATTTTTGTTATCGATATGTTTGTTTACAGTTCACTTTTTGATGTTTCTGCTTTCTTTTTGTAAGCTTTTGGTTAGCTGTTTCTCTTTGTTTGACTACGCAGATCGCTTTCACTCTGGGGAACGATGTATATCAAGTACTACTACTATGTATATCAACTACTACTCTGGCGAATGATGCATATCAAATATTACTACTACTACAATCTATATCAAGTGCTACTACTAGAAATAAATAATAATATTAATGAAAGAAAACCATAATGACAAGTTCCTACTTTCGTTGTTCCTACTACCACATCGTTCCACAAACGTTTAAAAGCAAGAAGAGTAGGAAAGCACATGTGAACAAGCTACTAGATGAGGCTTCTGGCGGTGAATTATAAAACAATCTCTATAATCGATGAAACAGATTCTACATACGAAGGTACCAACCACCACCAGCACGACCAAAAGGCCTAATATCAGTATTTTATTTACCTGTTCCTTTTATTTTCAATCTGGATATGTTAGTACTTTCTAAATTCGAGGTGGGATCAATTTCACAAATTGAAAAAAGATAAAACTTTAATCTAGTTTGTTTAAAAAAAAAAAAACTGTGACTCGTATTTAACAATGCTTTTATCCTCTCCAATGTCATGAGAGCCCTTTTCTATGATTTAAGTGCTTTAGTGGTGGTTATGACCTCTCTTATGAAGGAACTATGAATTAATCGAAATAACTTCATTACAGTTTTGCATTTTTTACTGAATCTTAGAAATTAATTGTTGTAATTTAGATTCATTGTAGTATTAACTCTTAGCAGCGGCAGTTGATATCGTGTATAAAATAATTACATATTCATTATTCATAATTTTAGTAGCATTTACGGATTTAATGCTACATATCTGCAACACACACATACATGCATCCATATGTACACGCACGTGCACATAAACTATAAAGTGAAATACACACTAGTAAAACAGATTAGAATTATTTTCAAACTGCTTTTCCTTGCTTACCAATTTTTTTCCTCGAAAAAGCAAGCGAATGTCTGATTATTTCATGCTTTTTTTTTTTTTTTTAAACTGAACCAGTAAACTTCATAAATATTACTATACACATCATTAACGCATAACAGCTCATTGCTTCCATCTGCGTTTCATCTCGCCTTCGGTTCCCAAGCTTAATTACAAAATCTCTTTTTAAGAACTAAATCACCTAAGCCCATTGGAGAAGTAATAAAGAAAACATTAGGTCATTGTACTTCATCTGTGATGCGGTAAATGTTACACTTGCGCGAGGAAACAGAACTTGACACTGAATTTGGAACAACATAACCTTCCCGTAAAACACGATGTTTTCACGCTCGTGAATGTTTGAAAACAATGAATTTTCCAGTCGGATAGGCATGAAGTTGCCAATCATTCAGTTTTTGCTTGTTTCTGGCTTATAACGACGTCATTAATGGTTAGTGATTAGGCTTAACAATGTTACAAAGTTTTCTTCTGTATTGAATACCTTCTTATCTTCTGAGTCAAATATTAAATTTAAAAAAAAGAAGTTATTAATTTCTTCGTTTAGCCAGAAATAATAACTTTTTGAATGCATGTTCAGTGTTAAATATTAATATGTTCTAATTATCAAAGGAATGCGAAGGTTATTCTTTGTATGCATGAATTTGCAAGAGTATAAAACATTTTTACTCAGGTAAACTTATTATTATAAGCTTTTATTTAGTTTACTCATGGCATTTCACTGCGGTTAGAATTTTGTGATCGATTTTTAATCTACTTCCTCATAACCTATCAAATTCAAACTTTGTATATACGGTGTTGATCAATAACAACGCAGAGTGGTGAAATGATTATTTCAAAACTCGATTTAGATTTTTTTATTTGAGTTTTAAACGATTTTTTTTTCCTTTAACGAAATAACTAAACCTATCAGAATTTTACACCATCGAATAGAGCAGAAAAAAGTCTTTTCAATGAAACTCGTCTACAAGTTGTAATTTAACTTCAAAATGTTTGAAAATTTCTCAATTTTAGACTATTTAGTATTTATGATTTTATAATTTCAACATCTAAAAAGGCATCGGATAGAAAATTTTGTAATTTTTGCAGATTACATAACAAACTTTTCGTCTTTTAATACAAAAATTATTTAAAAAAATATTAGTTGAGTGATTTTTCTACATTTAAAAAAAATGTGTTGCAGCCTGTAGCAGACAGGAGAAAAAAAGCGTTTCTCGCGGAAAATTGCTTTTAGGTTTGCCATCTTGGCGCATTTAATGACGAACTGGCGATATTCGTTTTTTCATTTTAGTTTCAGTAAACTGCTCGTTGTAACATTTTTATTATATCAAATTTCCGAAACTGAATATTCAAAGGAATTCCTTCATTCTCTGAATGATGTTCAGTTATTTTTTTAGTTCCTAATTTTCTTATAATTTATTGCTTGTATTTTAAAAATGATTAAAAATTTCATCATTGATAACATGTAATTGAGACTAAAAAACAGAAATTAAATACAATTAAAAAAAAGTTTATGTACAATTATCTTTAATTTAAAATGGATACGATAATTGATGCACTAAAAGGAGAATTTTTTTTTAAACTTTCTGTTGCGAATAAGGCTCCTAAATAATGATATGTATTAATTTGACTGCATTATCAAATGTGTAAGCCATTATCTTTTTTAATTTATCATGGGCGCCCTATTTTTATCATTCGAAATGCAAACATTATTTAATATATTATTTCCATTAAACTATATGATAAATTATCTTTCTCCTTTAATTACCATATCTATTGCATTAATTACCATATCTATTGCAAATTAAATCATTGTATAAAAACCCTTTTTTTAACAAGTCCAAAGGGCATTAGCCCAGAAAGGGTATTTAAGTTCGTTTTGGCATTTTGTGTTGATTAACTAATTGTCTGCTTTGATTCACGTTTCGAACTGCTGCCACCAATTATTATCATCCTGCGCTATATTTAAAGAAATTAAATAATGAAGAATCTGCATGAATGCATGAATGTTTCTCGCATTGTGAAGAAACAACGGTACCTAGAGCCATCAAATTTGGAAAAACGTATTCCTCCGCCGAATATGGGTATCTGGAAGCCCTAATTTGAAATTTGTTTTATTATCTATTTCATAGTTTGTAACACTTTAACGAATTTTTCATTAACACACTCAACGATTTGAAAACGAGCAACAGTGTACGAGAAAAAAAAAAAAAAAAAAGTTTTTTATCTTCAGCGCGCGAGACTGTGTATCGGAAATTCTAAAGATATGCTCATTTTAAAATTATTTTGCGATATTGCAGCTGAATTCAATTTTATGGTTTAAGAGCGA